GAATTCAATATGCACTACTTAGCATCCGACTGTATATGAAGTCTCACCAATCCTAACTATGACCAGTCCGTAATAAAGGGGATTTCTAAACTCAATGTCACATAGCAAGACAGATAGGCATTATATGTATTCAAACAGTTATACATGAAACCAATTTTCTTTTTCAATTTCTAAACAAAAAACAACATCAACAACAGATTGTAATTATCAATTTGCACTTGCTGTGGATACAGACTGGACCACTTCATTTTTATCAAATTCAACATGCACTAGCATCTGACTCTATATGAAGTCTCAGCAATTCTAACTATTACCAGCCCGTAATAAAGGGGATTTCTGAACTCAATGTCACATAGCAAGATAGATATGAAACAAGGCATTATATGTATTATGAAGTCTCAGCAATTCTAATTATTACCAGCCTCGTAATAAAGGGTATTTCTGAACTCAATGTCACATAGCAAGATAGATATGAAACGAGGCATTATATGTATTCAAACAGTTATACATGAAGCCAATTTTCTTTTTTAACTTCTAAACAAAAATCAACATCAACAACAGATGTAATTCTGAAAAACAACAATTCAATTGAATAACAAAAACAACAACAACATAAAACAATGTATAATTCAAAAAAAAAAAAGAAAAAGCGTAAATTCATATGGTCTTGTTTGTTTGGTTTCAAAACATAGTGATATTATCTCAAAAATAATGTAACAACAACAAGAACAACAAGCCATGATCATCATTTTCTTTTCTTTTTCCTTAAAAAAATCCTAATTCAAGAAACTAGAAAAGGGCGATTTAGATCAAGGGTTTTCAGAAATTGAACTGAAACATATATTCAAACCCTAACACAGACACACACACACACACACACACATACACACACAAACACACACACACATACATACAAGCCCTAACCCTAAATCAATTTGTAATTATATACCTGTATTGCTCGTTTAGGTCGGAGACAGAGAATTGGGTTGGTCGGACAGAGAGAGTCGAGAAAACACAGATTCATCGAGAAAAGATAGAGAGTCGACAAGAGTCCAGCGAGAGACTTGATTGAAAAGAGACTCAATCCTCGGAGAGAGAGAAAGACTCGATCGTCGGATGGAGGGAGGCTCGGTCAGAGAGAGCCTCAGTCATCAGATGGAGGGGGGCTCTGTCAAAGAGAGCCTCGATTGTTGGTGGAGTTGGAGAGAGAGACACAACAGAGAGAGAAGAGAAGGAATGAACAAATATATATATATATATAGAGAGAGAGAGAGAGAGTGAGAGCGAGAGCGAGAGAGAGAGAGAGAGTGAAAAGTCAGAAAATTGAAAACTCTCAAAATGATTTTGAAATTTGAAATCAATGACAAAGAGAGAGAGAAGGGCGAGTTAGCAACAGTGGCCAACAGTGGTTGCCACGCCGGCGCCATGTCATTAGAGCAACTTTAGAGCCGTTGCTTTAGTGGTCCAAAACATTATTCTTGATCAAATGATTGGAGCTTTTTTTTAAGTTCTTATTCATCAAATTTGAATTTAATAAAAGAGTTGGTGAAAGTTTGGAAATGTTTATTATTGGTTTGGTCCTTTTTTCTTACCAACCAAGCTGAATGTTAGGTGCTTAGAAGTTGATGGAATACTTTTTATATTGATTTGATTGATAATAAAATAGGTTTGGGGAAATTTTCAGGGTGTTGGATTGAATTGACGACTTCATAATGGATAATCAATTGAATTGGTTTTTAGAAGAAGTTGAGGGCTATTTATTTTTATTATTTTTAAATTATTAGTAAATCTTAATAGTTGAATTTAATTCATATCAAGTTCTATTGAAAATAAGTTATAGTAAAATGGTCGTTAAAAATAATTTTTTGTGATGATTTTTAGTATGTCGCTAAAAATTGACAATTAATGATTTTTTTTTATATCACGGTTTTATAAATTGTCACTAAAATTTACAATTACTGACATTTTTCTGTGACTAATTTTTCAAATTGTCTCTAAAACTTGAAAATTAATGATTTTTTTTTGTGACGATTTTTTTAAATCGTTGCTAAAACTTATAATTAGTGACATTTTTTGTAACATAGTTTTTGAACTATGGTTAAAAATTAACGATTAATGACATTTTTAAATAGTGTTTAATGAAAAATATCATTGCTTATCTTATAGCCTATTAATAATAAACCCACCTAGTAAGCCGTATATGTTCATCTAAGTATATTGTTTTTAATTCCATATGAGAAGATATGGTTTCAATTGATTCAAAAATGGATAAAGTAAAATTCTCATTTATATATTGTTGGATTGAGTTGATTTATCAAGTTGTTTTCTTAATTGATTTGGTTATAGACAAAGCTAAGGCTGCTTGTTTTTTATGGTGTTTTTCTAGGATTTTGAAATAATTTCCAATTTTATCTTTTCTTCAAATGTAATTTTGATATTAAATTCATGTAAGAAGGGCTCCTTATTATTATTATTATTATTATTATTATTATTATTATTATTATTATTATTTATTTTTTTCAATCCCCCATGAACTACAACAATGGAGCTACTGGGGAAGCCCTAAATGCTGATCTGTTGAACCATTTGGAATACATTGAGCAGAACGCAACCCTTGCTTTCCAGGCTGCAATATGGAGGTGGGTGACCCCAATCAATAAGTGACAGCCTTCCGCTCATGATGTTTCGGTCGGAAACTGGAAGTTCTCCAAGAACAATACCATGGAGAAGTTGCTTCCTGGTTTCGGCACCACCATGAATGTCCTTTACGGAGATAGTGTTTGTGGCCAAGGTGACGTTGATTCCATGAACAACATCATCTCTCATTACCTTTATTATCTTGACTTGACGGGAGTCGGCGACACACTTGTGGGTGTGTCGTTTTTGCAAGGAAAGTGTTTGATGAACTGTGTGTGTGCTGTTTTTGCGAGAAAGGTGTGGTGGTGAGGTCCTTTGCCCTCTCATTACTCTCATGATTTCTGCAAAATTGTTTTGCCTTGCTATTCTTGGTGTTTCTCCCCTCTCAATTCTCTTTTTACTTCCCTGACTGTAGCTTGGAGAAATTTGTTCACAACATGTTCGACGAAATGCCCCAATGTCTCTGTTTTTACTGAGAATGCCCCATTCATCCATCAGGGCCGGTCTAAGAAGTGTTTTCCTCTGACCGGTTCATCTTTGGTGAGAGAGCTCTCTTTAACAGTTCCCATCATCATGAGAGCCACTAAGACAATGGCATGATACCATGAAGTTGCATCAGCAAACAGATAATAAAATATGTTCAAAATTTGAACAGATAAAAAAAATTAAATAGAATTTTTTTTTTAAACAGATAAAATTTTTGAACATATAGATTTAAACAGATAAGTGAAAAAATTAAATAGCTAAGGAATTTTAGCAGATAGATATTCCAACAGATAGGAACAAACAGATTCAATTTTTGACAAATAGATACAAAATTTCAACAGCTAAAAAAGATTTCGACAACAGATAGAGTTGGTTTGACAGATAGAAACAAAATTTGAATTGAAAAGATCAAAAAATTATACATATAGGATAAAAAAATGGAATAGTTAGGGAAAAAATTAAACAGATAGATATAAATTTAAACAAATAGAAAATAATTTGAACAAATAGATATAAATTTGAATAGATAATCAAAAAAGTCAACAAATAAATTAAGGAGTAAAATTTGAAACAAAATATCCTTTAAAACAAATCAAAGGACTTCTTACCAAATTATTTCACAAAAGATGAACCTTTCACCAATAAAAAAATATCCACTGGACCTAATGCCTCATACCTTTTTCAGATTGAATTTATCACCAATTTTTTCTATTTTCATTGTGATTATTTCATTTTAAAATATTAATATCCGTAATTAATTTTTTTAATCTATTGTGGTTGATCGGGTGGAAGCCACTTATCAGGAAGCTAAGCTAGGCTTTTCAGGAATATCCTAACGAAACCTCCATTTTCAATGACCTAGAGGTCTGTTTCCTATACTTTGAAAGGCAATAGAGGTAATGATTCTAGAAATTTCACACTGCAGCAGTGAAAGAGAGTTCTAAATGGACCTCTATGCAGTTGGCAGTGCAACAAAAAAAGAAAAAAAAAAAGGAAAGAGATGAATTATAGTGGGATAAAAGACATATTAGAATAGCTCTAAAACATTTTTCTTTCACATTGTCATGGGGCATGGATTCTCTATTCCCAATGTATGATTGTCACACAAATGGAAGTTTGGAACTAGAGAATTCGTGACCCATGTCTGGTGTTGATCTTAGGTAGGCTATGATGATGTTTGGTTGGATTTAAGAATTTTGTTCATGTATCTGTCTGACTGAAAATCCTTGGGATGCTTTATGAAAGTGTTGGTGAATATAACAGAAGCTGTAGTGCTATCTAATTCTGAAACTAATGGAAGAAAACTAGAACCTAAATGTTAGCACTTATAGCTGTATTCTTTGAGAAACTACTAAAGAGACCAGAATATGTGTCTGTTGGTGCAGCTTAAAAGCTGCTTATTTCAGCTTTCAGCTTAATTTAAGCTATTTTGATGTGTTTGGTTTAGTTTAACAATGCAGCTTATAGCTTTTTGTAAGTCAGAAATCAACTTATTCTTTGAGTGGGGCAGGAGATACTTAATTTATAAGTCAGAAATCAGCTTATATTCATAGTTATAAGCTATAAACTGTTAAGGCATAAGCTATAACTACTTTCTCACAGTTCTACTAAACAGGGCCAAGTCCTCAGCTTTTGCAGCTCGCACTACTGTCAAGAAAGTCAAAATTTATCTATGATGATTTTCATGATCAAATTAGATCTAAAGTTTCACCTTGAGCAATCAAGGAGACATTCTTAGTATACTTTACAGTTATTGTTAGCACTACTACAGCCCATTTCTTCTGTTCAATAAAGAAAAGAGAGGAAAGCCTTACTTCCTTTGAAATAGTCTGCAAAGGGAAGCATCAACCATGGGTTGCATTGCAGTTAATTTCATATGATTGGAAGGATTAAAATTTCTACAACATGTTACATATGCACTAACGAACTTGTTTCATAATTACAAAGTATTCTTGCACATATTTATACCCATCCCTTTTTCTCTAATAAAGAAATAATACAGCAATAAAATTACATACATTAGTCTATTTTAAATTATATAATTACAATAGTCTCATACATATGCCTACATTTTATTTATATCAACCTCTCATATCTTGAATAATTTGTTTCATACTCATGTTAGAACTTTCCAACAATCAAAGGCAAATCAACCTCATCACTCCACTCCACACGCCTAGTCTCAAAATATGAGCTCTTCACACCATTAGGCCAATAACTCAGCCAAACTTGACACCCTATTCTCCACTTCAAGACACTCCCTTCCATCTCTTTGCCCAATCTCCACCCTACACCACCGCCACACTCATCTCCGGCAAACACTAATCCACCGGCTTTAGTAAATGGTCTATTGGCCCCCGCGTATCTTTTTTGAAAATTGTTTTTCATTTGACTATCACCATTTGATGGCTTCCACGTGGCAACTTCAACACCAGTGTTATTATCACATAAAATCGCATCGAATAGGGCTACATTACCTTCTGCATCTTGATCCCACCTCCAATTCTTCACCCTCGTCCTTGTTGCTACCCTTGCCATTGCTTTCACCTTCGGTACTTTTAAATTTCCGAAACTACCCTTCATAACTCTTTGCATTTCCATTTCTCTCTCCGCATTGTCTGTGGACCGGCCCAAACTCAACCCTGTCACATAAGTCGACCCGACCTCCGGCCCAACCCAAACCCGTATTCTTGATGGGAAATGCCTCTCGTCCACGTAATCACCATCCTCGTTTCCGTTAAACCCCAGCTTTGCCACATGGATGCGTATATTGTCGACACGTGCATTTACAAGAACAAATCCATCAGTGAATTTGATTGTATATTCCAACTGAACCACAGCCTCCAGCTGCTGGTGCGCCAAGGCGTATCTTAGCACAGACTCTTTAGCTTCAACTATATTGTACCCATTTTTGCGACGGCTGGAGCGCGTGAGAGTCATGGCCCAAACAGGCGCGTAGCCTTTCAAAACCCATAACCCATGAGACTCCATAGCATAAGAAAACCCGAGACTTTGAGATGGTAATGGGGTTAACGATTGTAACCCAACAACACCCACCTCTCTTAAAATCAACCACTTTGCTAACATGTACCCGAGGGTGCGCATGAAACACAGTTCTACGTCCACACCAACTGAGACGAAAAACGTTTTCAGAATAAGGGTGTGTTTGGATGTTAAAGTTTCGAGGTTTGGAGCTAACAAGGAATAGAAGTAGAAGGAGCCAACCTCTGAAGGCGCGTCGAATACACACAGCCAGAAGAGGCGAGTGAGAAAGATGAGGTTGAAGAAACTTGAGAACGACTCGGGCGAGTGGGAGTCCAGGATCCAGGAAACCGGGTCGGGTTTGATCTGCTTGAGCTGTGAATTTGGGCAGGTGCTATTCTGCGCCGTGGGTGAGCGGGAAACCTGTTCTTGGAGGAGTTGGAGGATGAGAGGCAAGAAGGGCTTTTCGGAGGAGAGAGGACACGTGTCGGAAACCCAGAGAGCCGTCTCTGGATTTTCAGAATCGAACCCAAGTAAGCAGACTGAGAAAGTCACGAAATCGTCCGAGTTGGACCCGGAGGTCCGATTTGCTCGGAGTTGGATTGATTGGGAAGCAGAGGTTTTGAGTGCACTCGGTTTGGAATTGGCGAGTTGGAAGATGAGTGGGGAGTGTGACTCGTCCCACTCGTTGGAGCTGGGGAGTTCACATATCCATGACCATATATCCATTTTTTTGCTTGGGTTTGTGGGTGGGTCTTTGTTTTTTGAGAGGTTTTTGTTGGGTTTGTTGTAAGTGAGATTTTATAGAAAGAATGAATGATAAATAGTTTGCCAACTTGGAGGTGGTTTTAGCCGCTTATGAAGTGAAGTTGCATGGTTTGGAAGGAGTGGTTGTAGGGGAAACTTGTGGGCTTTTGTTTTCTTGCATTAATTACTACATTTTCATTCTCTATTCTTTAACGTGTACATAATTTGATCATAAGATTGGGTCACTATTCAGTATTTTCGGAGTAAAAACACGTGATAATTTATAAGATTTTGATTGGTAGAAAGAAATAGGGACGCACGATTTATAATAGAGATGGAAAACAACATGGGCTTAAGTAATTAATGATTGACTTGAAATATGATCACGTGATGTTCCGAGATTATTGAATAATTTCTACATAAAATTACATACAATTTTCTTACATAACTATAAAAGAATTATATTTGGTTTTGTGATCAAACTCTATACACACATAACATAATTATATTTCTTCGTACCAAATTGTTTGTTTGAATATGAATAACAAGAATTTAAAAATAATGTGGTCAGGACTAAAATTTTTAATTTTTTTCCCCAAATTACAAGATCTCTGAAGTATTTTTAATTTGTGAATTTTTAAGAAATAAATTAACACAAAATATATTATTTTTAAGTTCTCATATCAATTATTATATTTGCACATAGACTATGAGGAGACCTCGAATTTTTTCTCGTTCATTTGGGGTTGTAAATATGGTTGATCTACCATTTGACACGTACAGATTTGTGGGGGAGAGAGACTAGAATAGTTGTTTGTTGTGCTCCTCAAAAATTGATGAGTTTGATAGGCTGAAAGGAAGAGATGTTAAATATTCAGCAATGAATATATGTGGCTGCAAAAGGTTTGTTTTGTCTTGTTTATATCCTCCAAAACATATATGTATATTTGTGCTTCTTAAATTTTCAATAATTATCTGATATATCAAATGGATAAGTTTCATACAATAATTTTCAGCTTCTTTGGTCCCATTCATTTTTTGCCTCGCAAAAAAAAAAGGCCCACTGTTTAGGTAGTTGGTTTAAAAAAAAAAAAAAAAAAAAATGCAACGAAATATTTTATTTCCATCTAAAAATGCATACATGATCTTGTTTGTATATGTAAATAAAATGTGAGTGAAGGGTGATTTTGGTATATAAGTTTTTAAGCAATAATAATTTAATCATTTTGTTATTTTTTAGAGAGAATGTTGGCTTTTTGGCTTTTCGAAGGGTATTTTTGTGAATGTGAGCGTGCCAGCAAGGATCAATCAGTCCTTACAGAAATTGTGATTGCCAACCAATTATCAGACGATTGTGTTTTAGTTCTTTTCAGCCTCAATGAAAAGAACTTTTACTGGTGGCTTGACTTAGGAGAAGTTAATAGAAATAACAGTAATATGAAGAACAATTGAAGTATTTCATAAAAATGAACACTTACAATGGTCCGAACTCAGCCTCAGAGAGGTTTACAACAACAATCTACTTGAATCTACTTGAAGCTACTCCTATGAATCGAAGTGCAGTGCGGGTATTTAAAGTGCAGGTATTTAAAGAACAGGTATTTAAAGACTGGAAATGTAAAATACTGGAAAAGAAAATATATGAAGTAAATGACTGATTTGTATGATCTGAGTCCGTCCTTTTTTTCTGGGGGCTGCCCTGCTATTTATACTCGTCAGTGATGACCTTTGAACTGCACTTCGAACCGTCGAACTGCTCCTCCATGATCGCTGATCATGCTTCCTTACAAGTAGCTCCATTACGCCATTACTGGTAGTTGAGCTTCCCTCTTGTACTTGAATTTGAATATGAGTAACCGTTGAAGATATGTCATCTTGCATCCCGTTATTGATCTAGTGTTACTCAGATCATGTGAGGACCAATATTTATTGCCACGTGTACGATCAGGATTAAAGGCTTGAATAACCTTCCTTTATTACCCTTACTCTGCCACGTGTCGAACTGTAACTGGCTTTTACAAAATATGTAGCCAACAGAGAACAAAAAAATTGATTTTAAAGTTTTGCTTTCATCGAATAGACTTGTATATTGTGAATGCATACAAATAAACATGTCACCATATACATTGAATTCCTGTCATCTATTAGACAAGGATATAATTGACCCCTTTGGGTCTAAAGTTATTAGCCTATCACCCGTGTTATGGACGGGATAATTATATATAGTTATATTTATTTTAATTTTTTTAATATCTAAATTATTTTTTTTAAATTTTTTATAAAAATAATTTAATAATCTTATCACTAATCATAATATATGTGAGAAGTTGAAAAAGGTGCTACAATAACTATGCACGGGTTGTAACTATAATTATTTGTATAAGGGAATTTTGACCAAAGCTCTCAAAAGACATGTGGATTGAAAAAAGTTAATAAATGCTGATTATAAAATTTTGATCAAATCAATAAATGCAGGCATGTGAAAAAGTATGTGAATTGAAAAAAGTTAATAAATGTTGATCAAGAGATTTTGACCAAATTAATAAATGCTGAGATTTTTTTTATAAAAAAAATCAAAAATTTAAAAAATTAAGATTGGGATTTTAAAGTTTTCACAAGACTTTTTATGGTTAGAAACCCCCTATTACTTATTTTTTATGGTGCAGGTTGCTGTTGAGGGTATGGGTAACCTCTGCTTGAACCGAACTATAACTTGCTCGTCGGAGGGTTCGCTGGGGGACTCCCCGTTCCCCTGTCGAACTTGTGTGCAAGTTCTCTGGTGGGCTTGAACACTCAGTTACCGGTTGAAGAAACGTGGATTAGTCCGACCCATTCCACCTGGGACCCGTTGTGTAGTAACTGTATCATTAGGCTTGAATAACGATTTTTTTAATTATTTAAAATCAAAAAATAAAAAAATTTAGTTTGAAATATTAGACTTGTAAATTAAAAATATCATTTTTCTTATATAATATATACATATAGATTTTCCTAAGAAATTTTAAATGAAGTTGCTGTCATGCTATTTCAATGCATTGATTTATGGTGGCTTTGGCAAAATTTTTTTAATTTTTTTTTTTAAACTTTTTCAGAATTTAAAAAGTTGATTTGTTTGATAATTGTTAAAATTATTAGTATTATTTTGTTTTTTTAACGAAGAAAGTTTTGTGAGTCTTCCTTTTTTGAATAATAATACCATTTTAATATTGTGGTGTTAATATAATTATCTATAATTATTTGTATGAGAAGATTTTAAATGTTGATAAGGGAATTTTGACCAAATCAATAAATGTAGGCATGTGGAAAGACATGTGGATTGAAAAAAGTTAATAAATGTTGATTAGGGAATTTTAACCAAATCAATAAATGTTGAGATTTTTTTTTTTTAAATAAAAAATTAAAAAAATTCAAATTGAAATATTGGAACTCTCACAAGAATTAAGAGTTAGAAACCCCTTTTCCTTAATATATATACTAGCCTATCACCCGTACTATGCACGGGATAATTTTAGATATTTGTATTTGTTTTAGATTTTTTTTAATATATAAATTATATTTTTTAAGACTTTTTATAAAAATAATTTAACAATCTTATCATTAACCATAGTGTATAGGAGAAGTTGAAAATGGTACTGCAATAATTATACATGGATTGTATTTATAATTATTTGTATGAGGTGATTTTAAATGTTGATCAAGAGTTTTGACCAAATCAATAAATGCAGGCGTGTGAAAAGACATGCGGATTGAAAAAAGTTAATAAATGCTGATCTGAGAATTTTGACCCAATTAATAAATGCTGAGTTTTTTTTTAAATAAAAAATTTAAAACATTCAAATTGGGATATTGAAGCTCCCACAGGCCTTGGGATATAAAAACTCCCTTTTGCTTAATATATAGTACTAACATATCACCCATGCTATGCACGGATTGTGTTTGCAATTATCTATATATGTGAATTGCGATTTTTAAATATCTTTTTTTTAAATGGCTTCTTTTTTTTCTTTTTTTATATTATATTGAAGTTTAATATTTTGATAATAATCATATGTGCTAGACTTTTCAAGGAATTAAATGTCTTTTTTTTTATTATATTGTATTAAAGTTTAATATTTTGATAATAATCATATGTGTTGGACTTTTCAAGAATTTTTTTTTATGCTTGTTCTTAATGCATTAAAATGTTGTTATGAGAGATAATAATCATATGTGTTGGGACTTTTTGATTTCAAAGAATTTTTTTTATGCTTGTTCTTGATACATTAAAGTGTTATTATGAGGGTAAGACTTGGGGATTGGGAGAAATTAATAAATTTTTGATAATAATCATATGTGTTGGACTTTTCAAGAATTTTTTTTTATGCTTGTTCTTAATGCATTAAAATGTTGTTATGAGAGATAATAATCATATGTGTTGGGACTTTTCAAGGAATTCATGTGTTTGATTTCAAAGAATTTTTTTATGCTTGTTCTTGATGCATTAAAGTGTTATTATGAGGGTAAGACTTGGGGATTGGGAGAAGTTAATAAATGCCAAGGTTTTTTTTTTTTAAAATTAAAAAATCAAAAAATTTAAATTGAGAGATTGAAACTCCCACAAGATTTGAGATTAAAAATCTCATTTTACTTAATATATAGTATATATATATATATATTGATATATAGATTGTGGCTAAGATATAAAGTTGCATGAAGGCCATGAAATCCCATCTGCCCCATCTTACCTTTCTCTTTCTATAAAATTCTTGGCTATGATGTCCTCTCTCTTCGCAATCTCAATAAAATTATCTTATAACAAATATTGAGTGGAGTAGTGATTTAATTTAATTTAATAATTATGTTGTGGTCTCTAAACATTTATTCATGTTGATATGGTGTTTATGAATTGATAAGAGTGATAGTTATATAATGGTTAGAACAAACTTGACTCACCTAGTCAACTGAGTGAGAGATAAGATCGACTATATTTATTTCATCTCGTGTGTCTTCATTAATCGAGAGTATCATAAACACGATAATACTTTGAGACTACTTGATAATTTTTCATCATACATTATCTAACC